CATGTATAATCACATCGCGTTCGACAATTTTTCAAAATTCATACATGTTTGACAAAAACTTTTCATTTAAAGTTAAAACGTATATTACTAGAAAAAGGCTTTCTTCCCATAATCAAAGTACAGAAACAGGAAAATATCAGAAAACTGAAAAAAAAAAAACAGTAGAATAATATGTTAATTCTGTAGTACCCACTGTATGGAAGATGATTATCATTTTGTCTTTTGCTTGAATGTCCTGTTTATGAATCTTTAAGAGAGAAATATATCATATTATTTAAGATCTCAAAAGATGGACATGTTCAAGACTACTCAGCTATTCATGATGTCAGTGTTTTAATTGGATTATAAAGGAAAATTTATTCTCCATACAATGGAATTAAGAAAACATGAATAAATCAGTTCAATTTAAGATATGTACATGACGTGTATGAATTTAGTATGTGTATTTCAGTTACTTTTTCATGTTTTAACGTAGAATTTAGAGTTCATTCTGTAATTATTGGTGCTGAGGAGATGGGCAGATGGACACTCGGGGTTCCATCCCCTGCAGACTCTATCCATTTGTTCATAACTATATTTATTTTGCTTTTGATGAGTTCTATGACTTAGAGATGTTATAAACAGAATATACATTATATTGAAAAAAATTAAACCAAAATTGAAATCAACTTACACAACAATCAACAAATAACAAGGAATGCGTCGTTTTCTTAATGTCCTTCCTAAGTTAATTGATTATTAAAAAGTGTTTAGAAAAGGTGAACATTTCAATAGGAAAATTTAAATCAAAATCTTAATTATTATTATTCAAATTGTTATATTGATTATGAATGCTACTTTGTATCAGCTTTCTTTAGTGACACTTTATGATTTATAATTATTATCAAGTCAGGAAATGCATTGGAAAAACTTTTCCGTGTTTTTATTTACAAGTTTAGCATCGAAGTGTCACATTTAATCCAAGCCTTATTCTAAACAGGTATAGACTTTTTTGCATTAAAGTAAAGGAAATAATCCTTTTTTTATTATTATGTGGCGCTGCTTTCGTGGATTCGGGAGTTTCATTAAATACTCAGCAATTTTAATGCTTGAATAAGGGGACGGGGCCTAATTTATACGAGAAAAGTTTACTGTGACGTCTAACAAAAATATGACTTATATGTATTTCTCATTATTTCTCATTATACCTGAAAATGAAATAGTTTGCAACTTTTAGCTGTATAAGCATAATAAACAATAATAAAACATATTAACGCATTTAAGAAATTTGCTAGTTAAATCCCATGTAGCTGGTTATAGAGAAAGCACTGATAGTAACTTGTAAACATGACGTCATTTTGGTAAAAATGACGTATTTTATGTGCTGTGAGAGGCAGATTTAGCTTTTTTAAACAATGAAAGATGCGTTTTAATATTAAATGGAATATTATTTACATGTTTTAAATAGTCGATTAATACCAATGCATATCCCTTGTTTAGTGCGATTATAGATAAACTATCAAGATAATGTATTTTATTAATTATGCCGTGTTTTTATGTACAAGTTAGTAACATTTTACATCGAGATGCCTCATAAGATCACACTTTCGCAAGGGCATACACTTAATAGATCTTAAGCATTTTTTGATTATAGATAAAGGATATTTTTCTTAACTTGAAAAGTGCTGCGGCTTTCTTTAAATCGAGGGCCAGATTCTATAAGTTCACAAAATATTTGGTAAAAGTCAAACATATTTCGACATTGGCTTATTAACCTGAAATTTAAACTATTAAAATGCGAATTCCATTCAAAGCAGCAGTGTTGCAACCACTATTGAAATAACGACCACTATTGAAATAATTATATCAATAGTGGTTGAGAGCGCATTTCAATAGCAAGCATTGTTAGTAACCACTATTGAAATACAACCACTATTGAAATAATTATTTCAATAGTGGGTGAGAGTGCATTTCAATAGCAAACACTGTTAGTAACCACTATTGAAATACGACCACTATTGAAATAATTACTTCAATGGTGGGTGAGAGTGCATTTCAATATGATAACCATAGGTTTCAACCACTATTAAAATACGAGCACTATTGAAATTTTTATTTAATAGTGGGTAAGAAAGCTTTTCAATATGAAAACCATAAGTTTCAACCACTATTGAAATACGACCAGTAGTGAAAGAAAAGTTTCACACAGTAATTTTTATCCTAAATTTCACAAAAAATTAGATTTGGGGTGAAAAATATATAGAGTAATAATTAAAGTGTATAAATCAATAAGGATGGTTTTAGTAAGGCAAATTTTGAACATCACAGGTTTACAATTTCTTTATATTCTAGAAATTCATTATTTGATATAAAATATATAAAATATACACCAATCCAGGCATCCATATTTTGTTTGTATCATCTGTCTTTAAATTAAGATTTAGATATATAGTAATTGAAATGATAATTTCAAAAGTTATTTAAATTATTTTGATAGTTCCAGATAATACTTCAAAACTAAAACCATTACTTAATCCATATTGAAATCTTTATTTCAAAAGTAAACATTATTTCAATAGTGGTTGAAACCTATGTTTATTATTGAAATGAATCTCACCCTCTTTTGAAATAATTATTTCAATAGTGGTCGTATTTCAATAGTGGTCGTATTTCAATAGTGGTCGTTATTTCAATAGTGGTTGCAACACAGCAGCACTTTTCAGAAACTACAAAGTATACAGAAACAAATAATAACTTTTTTAATTTTTAATTTTGACCAGGGTATGCCCTTGCGATATTGAAATTTGTTCATGACCTACATTCAGTACACGAATTATGCATTCATCACGTGACTGTCCATCGATGGGACCAAACTTCATACAGTACAGAGTGGGTTATACTATGCTATTTCCATAAGTATTTGTGTTCTGTGATAATAAAACAGCTTAATTAAAATAAATTCAGTTTTAAAAAGGTCCCCCTTTTTTGCGCGTCTCTATTCCGTTGATTTCTCATAGTAGGCCTTAACAGTTTTGCGTAAATACACGCACAATTTTGCAAAAGTCACAATAACATGCATTTCAATTGAACCTAATTACTTAAAATTGAAACCAACTAAACGCAAATTCTGTTGAATAAACAGAAATTTTAAGAAACTACAAAATACGTGTATATAGAAAGAATATATCCATTTTTAAAACTTCAAATGTGTGAATGACCTTCACTGAAATGTTTGTATGACCTCCAAGCAATTAACATATTTCATGTGTTCATCACTTGTCAAAGAATGTACCCAAGCAAGCTGAATACAATACAATACAATGGATCATCATGGTTCCTTTTGGTTCCTGGTGGAACATAGGGCCTCGGCAACAGTTCTACACTGCACTCTATTCTGGGCAGCTCTTTTCAGTTGTTCCCAGGTGTGTCCACATTGCCTGATCTCCTCTTAACAAGACCTTCGCCAAGTTTTCCTGGGACGCCCAACTCGCGGTTTGCCTTGTGGGTTCCACTCGAGTGAGTGGCGTGTTATGTCTCCTTGTGGTTTTCGGAGGGTATGTCCAATCCATTGCCACTTTCTGCGGGCTATTTGTTTAGTGATTGGGTCTTGGTTTGTTTCTTCCCACAGGATCTTGTTGCTTATAGTTTCCAGCCATTTGATGGTTAATATGTGGCGCAGACATCTGTTAGAGAAGGTTTGTAGTTTGTTGTAGGTGTTGTTGACTCTCCATGTTTCAGACCGTAGAGGAGCACAGACTTAACATTGGTGTTGTAGATGCGGAGTTTTATGTGTGGATAGTGCTGTTGAACTCCAAACAGGCTTGAGGGTGGTGAAGATGTGTCTGGCTTTATTAATTCTAGCTTTTATGTCTTCATCTGTTCCACCAGTGGCTGTGACGATGCTGCCTAAGTATGTTAAGGAGTCTACATCTTTAAGGTTGTGCTCTATAAGTATAACTGGTGTTTGCTGTTTGTTGTGGAACCGCATCACTTCTGTCTTTTCGATGTTCACCTTAAGACCTGTCTTTGCTGCTTTTTTGCAAGTCTATTTGTCTTGAGCTGCATATGCTCATACTTCTGGGACATGAGGCATAGATCACCTACAAAGTCAAGGTATTCCAAACACTGAGTGAAAGTCCACTGGACTCCTGTCTTACTATCTTTTGTTGTCTCCTGCATGATCCAGTCCACTACCACTAGAAATATCATTAGTGACAGCAGACAGCCTTGTCTAACCCCAGTCTGTACCTCAAACACTTCAGGAAGCTTTCCATTGTGGATGACTTGGCATGTTGCCTCGTCATACAATTGTTGTATCAGGTTGATAAAGGTAGGAGGCGTTCCATAATGCTGTAGTCGTTTCCAGATGACTTTTCTATCAACACTATCTAAGGCCTCTTCAAAGTCTATGAAGTTAAGATAAAGTGTTGACTGCCACTCCAGTGACTGTTCGATTTTTATAAATAGAGTGGCGATCTGGTCTGTACAGGACTTGTCCTTTCTAAAGCCTGCCTGTTCAGGACGAAGTCGTTCTTCTATAGCCTTTCCAGTATAATTCTTGTTAGGATCTTGCTTGGGACAGAGAGGAGCATGATGCCACGCCAGTTCTTGCATTGTCCCAGGTCTCCTTTCTTGGGAAGCTTCACTAGATGTCTTTTTTTCCAATCAGCTGGTACCTTTCCCTCTGACCATATCATCTGCAGGAGGGGTAGTAACATGTCTGCTGAAGTCTTTGTGTCTGCTTTAAGGGTTTCTGGAGGAATTCCACCAGGCCCAGCTGCTTTCCCATTCTTTAGTTTCTTCAGAGCCTTGATGGGAGGGGCAGTGATCACCGCTAGTTCAGAGTCTCCTGGTGGTATGTTGGTGTTGTTTCTGGTGCTGGTCGATTTAGGAGTTCTCTGAAATATTCTGCCCAGCGCTTTCTTTAGTCTTCTTCCTTTGTTATTGTGTTGCCTTCCTTGTCTTTAACTGGCTTGGTCTGTGGTGGTCTTTTCCCAGCCAGGGTTCTTGTGATTTTGTACATGGTAGTCTTTTCTCTCTGCTGCTTCCTCAGCTTATGTAGCTAGTACATTATAAAAGTGTCTTCTATCTCTCCTTGCACTTTTCTTTACTTCATTGTTTAGAATAGTCTGTGTGTCTTTTAATTCTTGCTTCTTTTGTTCCACAAAACTCACACATTATCACAACTGATAATTTCTGGTTGGGAAGTTTTTCTTTCATCGACCAGTTTCCATGTATCTCCTGAAAGCCATTCCTTGTCTCCCTTTTCTCTTTTCCCTAGGATCTCTTAACATGTGTCTTTCCAGTTGTCTTTGATGAAGTTCCAGGTTCTTCTAGAGGAGTTTCTTGACAGACATTGTTTAGGACCTAAAATCTGTTTTTCAATGAAATGCTAAAGGTGTCTTTTGTGCCCTTTTCCTGAAGTCTCTGAGTGTTAAACTTGATGTGTGGTCTGTCACAGTTGTCCTTGAAGGCTTTCAACTTGACTTTTATAGTGCATTGTACTAGGTGGTGGTCTGAAGCTACATCAGCCCCCCTTCTTGATCTTGTATCAACGAGGCTGCGTCTCCACTTCCTTGAGATAGTAATGAAGTCTATCTGGTTCTTGGTTTTTCCATCGGGGGAAATCCAAGTCTCTTTGTGGATGTTTTTGTGCCGCTTGACACTTCCTCCTATCACAAGGTCGTTGAAAGCCATTGAATGGTGTTTCATATAATTTAAAATAATATTAAGTTCATAAAATTATGTTACGCTTTAAAAAAAAATGAATTCAAATGATAAAAAGATAAATATATGCCTAGTTCTTTATTCCCTCGATTCAATTATAGCACAATTTAACAGTGCTTCGAAGAATATGTTTCCTTTGACGAGATGTTTAAAGTCATAATTTTGTAAATTCTATGGTCGATACATTATCAGCAAATACAATATATATTTAATTCAAATACTGACTGACGTTTTAAAATGATATTTTGCTCATGATACACACAATGAATTGTCAACGGATTTTTTTTATTATTCCCGAACAAAGAGCACACGGTGGGTGTAACCGGTCGGCAGGAAATGCTCACTCCTCCAAGGCACCTGATCCCATCTCTGATGTTTTGTTTTGATCTGCTTCTATTGTGTATTGTTTATTGGGCTTTTGAGCTTGAAAAATGTTTATTCATATTCATATATTTCATTTTGCAAAAAAAAAAAATCATCAAATAATGATACGACTCATTTTTTTGTGGAAATTTATTATTATAAAACGGGCTCATATAGTTTACATTATTAACAACAAACAGCCATTTGATTAGACTTTGCGTAAAAAGTAAGAGTTGTTAAACTAGAAGGTCGTAAACATGACTAAACGGGTTATTTGTACGTATTATTCTAATTAATTCAAATTCGTATGATTGAGATTGAAGTTGTTGTTGAAAGTTTTTTTATTAATTAAAGTCAAACTCCAATTTTAAGGCCAAAGGGTCAAATGAGGTACCGAGGGAGATGACGTTTCATAACTAAGGCAATAAACTGAAGTACATGTAGGTCTGGGGTCCGTCATGTGTCGTCTATAAAGGAATAGGCAGGCTAAAATTCCTTTTTGGTCCTTGTTTTGGACTTTTTTTAGAATGATGCAATAATTTATCAATAGGAACTTGTTTACACCGCTTCCACAAAATGAGTAAAGGTTCTAAGTTATGGGATACAAAAGGGTCGCAGGAAAACCAGAAATAAGCCATTTTCCGATTTTTCTCAATTTATGGAAACTTACATCAATTTTACAGTATATTTTGTTTTAGAAAACATAGAGCACATGCTTGTGTATTTACTAAATTGATATATTTCATACATTACTATCAGATCCATCTTGAAAAAAATATTTAAGATAGGCAACCATGTGCTCAATGATTTTCGAAGTGAAATGTGTCTCAAATTTGACGAAAAATCCACCAGAGTTTGCGGAATTTCGAAACACAACATAAAGCAAAAGCTTAGCCTAGAAATAGAAGTACAGTTTTAAAGCAGGCATAGCTCATTTTAATGATTAAAAAGGTATATCTAGTTTGTTTAGTTTCGAGAATGTCCAAAACCATGACACCTGTACATGTATATAAGACACAGGCATAACAAAGGGTCACGGTCATACATTTGAATATAAACTTAAGGAAATATCTTTAAAAATTCTTTGCAAGAACAGTTATTGTGGATTCAACGGTAATTGTGGACGATCAGTTCAGGGACATTCTAGAGAAGCCAAACGGGAAATAAATAAGAATGCCTAACAAAATAAGGCCTTTGATTTTTTTTTTTTCAACCAAGCAACTTAGTTTATATAAGTCACTGGACGCCATGGGTATTGTTTTCAAGGTTATCTATTTTGGATTATCATTTATCAACAATGCAAAGGGTCTATGTAATTATATTCATCAACTTTATTATTGTTTAATATATATTAAATCACATTCAGTATTATTTAAAAAGGCATATAAAAACAATTCATTTCGATTTTTCAACACGATCTTTCAGACTCTTTCAAAGGAATATACATGTATCTAAAAAATGGCGAATCTTCTCCTAAAAAAATACCCGCCCAGAAAAGATTAAATTAAGGTTATGTCTTCTTGACATGATGTAAATTCCAGCTAAATTCAAATCATTACCCCTCATTTTTTTAAGAGCACAAAAGCCATGAAAAGGCATTATATTTATGTGGAACATCATGGGATATTTTTATTCAAAGAAAGTTTTTCAAGTTCGCGAAGATTAACAAACTATGATTCCTGAGAGCAGAGGGATAGATAGGAAAATCTTAAAATACAAAGAACAGCAAATCCATGTTAGGTCATATTTAGATGGAAGTATCCAAAGGTAGTGTTAATTCTATGAAAGCTTTCTCCATTAACAAAATATTCTTACGCCTTCTCTTTTCAAGATCAACAAAGCCACAATTTGTCATAAAAATCAGTTTTTCCGTATTTCTTTAAATACTGTAGAAGAACTTTTTTCCGCGTGATATTAATTTACGCTACGTACGCGGTCACAAATTTTACGCGGAAATTTGTCCAAGCGTACTTAATACAAATACAAAGCATATTGTGGCCTTATTTTTTAACCAGAGGATTAAACAGAAATTGTGATCCGCAGACTTAAATCCCCGCATTTAATAATTTTAAAACAATTTACAGCCTTTCATTTGTATTTTCCTTTTTCAGCTGAAATAAACCAATTTTTTGTCACATGAAATGGTTATTAGATAAATACAACTTTAAAGCTTTGGAAAATAGAAATGAAATAAAATGAATAAAATTTTACATGTACCATATTTATAATTGATTTAGAAAACCTAGCCCAGGACATGGCTTTTCAAGGTACAGCATCAGTAAGTGGTAACCAATTCAGTAATAACATGTGGCAAGCTGACAAGGCAGTTGATGGAAGGCTTGAAATGGAATTTGGTGACGTAACGTGTAGTATTACTACGGCGTTAACCTACAAAACGGCATGGTGGAAATTTACTCTGAAACAGTTGTCTAATGTGGCTTACTTGAAAATTTTCTTCAGAAATATAATTAATCTGTATTTAATTATTTAGGATATATAGAATAGAGAAAACTCGGTCAAGGGTTTTGAAATTACTCCATGGTTCATTCCTCGAAATGCACTCTGAATTTCTATACTATCATGATAGACTAATATATAATATTTGAATATTTTAATGAAAGAACAAAGAAAAGATATAACTTTTTTAACCATGTGGGCAAATATTCAGAAACCATAGTTTTATATGTATAATGTAATGCTCACCACTCCATGGCCTCTGATCCCACCCCTGATGTTTTGGAGTTTTGTGTTTATTTTTGATCGTGAATACTGTTCGTTATCTCTATATGTTTCTTAATTTTATCTAAAGGTTTATTACAAACACTTAACCCGAAATTGCGATATGAGTACATAAAAGCATGATTCACAAGAGTCCAATAATTATTTTAATTTTAGACCATGTCAATTACGAATTGAAAAACAAATTAAATGGTAACGCTAATAAATTCAACTTCATTTATAGTCCTTTGTAAGGTCATACTTAAGTTGAAAGATACTAGTAGCATGATCTGCATTTTTTTTTTTTTTTTGCTGGAATTAAAAAAATGAATGCAAAACAAATGACTGAATGAAATATTGGGATCTAACAAACAGTATTCAATCTCAAAAGTCCAATTCAAAATACAATCATCAGCAGAACAATCAAGGACCTCCAAAACATGTGTGCAAGTTTGTATGCTCATTGACAATAATATGAAGGTCCTTTGGAAGTTATTTGATAAGTAATAAGAAAAGCCAGTATGAAAACAAGTTTATTCCAGTTAAATATGACGGTTTTCTTGAAGAGTTAGTGTTATTTTTGCACTAAATACAGTTTTTTGACATTGTATCTGATTTTTAAAAGCTAAATTAGCCAAAATATAGTTAGTTGATCCGTAAGATGCAAATTGACCTCACAGCTTTATTTGAAAGTTTGAATCAGGTCTAACATGTATGAGTACCTATCTAGACTGTGCTTAAAAATTCTTGATATAATTTCACGAGAGAATACAAATATCTTTTATGCAGGTTGTAAAGAATCATTG